CGTTAATAAAGAGATTATGAATATAAAATAACAAATATATACAAATACAAATTACTTATTTATCGATAAAAACATATTTGTAAAATATAAAAAACAGTTAAATATAATAATAATATAATAATAATAATAATAATAATAATAATATTAATATTAAAATCTTTATTTTATAGAAATCATGTTGGGTCAATGATAAGCACAGAATTCTTGGAAACGCTTTTGAAACCTTGGAAGCCATTGAGAGACATGATATTTTACCTGCTCAATGAAATCTTCTCGAGGTGTCAATAAACATTACATTAACGAAATAATGTTCAATAGGCTTTTGAAGAGTTGTCAGTTTTCTAGGCGCCAAATCTTCTTCAGATGACAGCGAAAACACTATTAAGTCATAAAACAATGCGGATTAAAAAATTACACCCTGAGGATCAAAAGGGCCATTTTTCTAAAACTAGTTTCTGATATACAGGATTTCAAGCGACATGGATTCATTGCCATTTTAAGGACATGTGATGACAAACCTGTCATTCAACTCATTTTTCCATAAAAATTCTAATGAAAATTTAAAAAAGAAAAAAAGAAAAGAAAAGAAAAAGAAAAACCTTTATTACAACGTTAATATCCAACACTTAGAAATACATGTTTATAAACTTGTCATTACTATATCTATCTATGAGCCATTTCTATATCTATTAAAAGATGATGATAATTGTTTTTAAAAATTTTTWAATAAATATAAATAACTTTGAATAATAAGTTGGAAATTTAGAGACTAAAAAATGATGGTAAAAAGACAAATACTAAAGCCTAATACTATTACTATATTAAATTCTAATAAAATCTTTGTTTGTATATCAGCTAATACCACTATTTCTATATGTATTCACTTTCTCTCCAATGAGAGATAATCTTTGCATTTCTGTGCATGATTTTGACACAACTGCTTAGGCTACGTGGGTGGCGTCACGTGACTTCTACAATTTCACATTAGCCGAGGTGTTTTAATCGTGCTTTTCAGACCTGGAGAAAATTCGAGAAATAACGATAAATGGCTTTGAATCTAGCGATTTGATAAATGCGATCAGTTTATGACGGATATAAATCAAAGTAATATCGACAGCTGGAGATTTATCACGAAAAGATTGAGGAAAAGTAAATTTTTATTTTACATTTTTTTAAATAAAGAGATTTAAGAGTACAGAGACGCGCTTAGAATTGCAGAATTTTTATTTCATTATTATTATTTTTTATTTCTTATTCTTATATTTTTTAAAGTTTTACACTCAGATGGGATGCATCTGTGCGCCATGGAAATCGTTAAATCCGAAAGAAGAGCCTTTGGTCACCCTGTGGAAAAAAGGAACGCAGACAAAGCTGTTTCTTGAGAGCCTGGGACTTGTTGAACAAATTGAAGGAGAACAAAAGGTTGTTCTTTGTCCAAGGGAATGTCAACTGTTGAATGTTCTGTCAGTCTTCTACAAGGATGTGGACTAGAAGTAAAGAAAATAAAGAATATGAATGTTATGAAGTGAATATATAAAATAATAAATGGTTATTTTTACTTTGATTTTTTTTTTTCGTTTGAAATTTTTTTTTCGAATTTCAAAGTGTTTGTACTGTTGAAGTTGTGCATTCTTTGCTATACCATTGGTATTTGTGAATATTTTGACATTGAAATGAGGCTAAGCCTGCGAAGATGAATCTGTAGTCAAGAAACAAAGCGGGATTGTACGAATTCAAAAGAGGTCTATTCTATATTCAATTCCAAAATACTGATATGGTATGGACTTTGGACCTGAATGCCGATTTGACATTGCGCAGAAACTTATAGAGCCCTAGCCCGAAGGCAACTGGGAAGCAATCTCGTTCACAGGGCCTGCGTTACTCGTGGTCAGCACCTTTAGGGCTTAATCTATTCCTGAATTTTTTGGATTTTGGAACGTCAATGCTTTCTTCTTCGTGGTTCATTTCTCAAAACAGCCATTCACTATAAAACGGAAGTCTTCACGCATGCGCTTTGAAATTTACCAGAGTCTTGGTAAATTTTGTGGATTATGCTAGAGTCTTCGTTTCTCGGTGGTGACTAGGGGAAACGCAGACTCTGGGGACGAGATTGATCAGGGAGAGAGTAGCCGGCCCCAGAACGTAACTACAGCTAATTCCTTGCACTATAACTGCAACACACTTCGATTTGAAGTGAAAAATAATCTTCTTTATTTGATGTATTGTTTTCGATTCAAGGCTATTGTTGTGCCAATTTCTCGAAACCTCTATTGAGTAGTACATTCATCTAACTAATCATACGATATAAAACTATATATAAATAGAACTTCGCTGCTTTTGCAAATATTTATACCACCTAGTTTCCCATTTGTTTCTTTCAAGAACAATGAAATCGGGGTTTTTCTTCGAACCCCAAGCTCTGGGTAAAGAAAAAAAAATTATAGACTTACCACTTGATAGCTTAAAATATTGATAATCTAAACAGAACGTTTAATAATTGACTGAGGCTGGCTACTTTGATAATTAAAAGTGGGAATTGTTTTCGAGTTTTAACAAAGATTTAATTAAGGGTGCAACCTTCACCTAAGGCACAGCCAACGTTTTAATTCAATTCCTGCGATTTGTTTGACCACATCTAAAGACCTTTTGAGTAAAAATAGAAAAAAAGAAAAAAGAAAGTACATTTAACGAGTTGTATTTTTCATTATGGAATTATTTCCGTCGAATTCTATCGAAAGCAACTTGTCACGTATTCGACACCATGTTGAATTTCATGCAGTTTCAAGTTTGAAATTGTGGTAACAATGTCCACTTGGATTCAATTATCGGTAATCCGGTTTGTGAACAATGTCGGAAAGCCAAAAATAAGCGTGGGATGAATATCATTCTCTGTCTTTAAGTCTTCTAATCTTAAAAAGAAAACGATATTGACAGAATTCTTCATGACAAAAATCATGACTTGTGCGTTGTGATTACACAATTAATTGTCAATTATTTTTTCGTTATTTTTATTTTCTGCGAATAATATTCAAAGAACGTTGCATAATTCTTATATTGCTCGTCAATATTCTACCACCTTAATTGATCATGAAACTGAAAAATACCGTTTTAACGTTAACTTTTATTTTTATTTTTGAGAAAAAGATGACTTTTTTTAAAGAAGTCCGATGTTCGAACTGTTACGATCGGCCTCAACGACTCAACCGGCTCTGTAATCAAATTCAAATGCCTAAAGTCCGATTGATTTTTGCTCTAGCTTCAGCAGAAATACAAAAGAGTGCATGGGTATTTTTAAAGACGGACAAAGTCTTCGGCACAGCTTTCCTTCTTAACGCTAAACAATACACTGAGTTCATGCTTGATAGCCGTGGTCTTTTAATCATTCATTCTCGTGGCTCGGCAGATGTGGTCAAAAACAAAAACAAATAAAATATATGAAATTAAAAAGGAAAGCCTGTTTCAAGAATACTTTTGGCATCACACAACAATATAACGTATAAGCCATTAAATTTTTGGTTCATTATTCAAGGTATAGAAATTATGATTGAATCTGAAACAATCTATAATTATTCCACTCATAATTATGTTATACAATTAAAAATTTACAAAGCGAGTCTCTGAAAAAAATATCTTGCGGCCTGAAACCTTAATGTCGTCTGCGTTTAAAGGCTTGGGATTACCAATTAAAGAGGAATTTTAAGAAATATGCAAACAAAACAAAACAAAACAAAACAAACAAACAAAAAAAAAMCATAATGCATCACGGCAAGGCACCAGTGCGAGAACTTCAGCAGCTGTTCCGCTACTCGTTATATTTGAAGCTGTTGACATTTCGGTTTCCAAGACAGGCGAATGAATAATCAAATGCCTTCTACGTCATAGCGTTATAAATTCAAGTTCGATCTGACAATATAATCAGAAGGGAAACCGAACGACTCGAGATTTTTTCCCCATGATATGATGGCGGATCGAGTGGATCGTGTAACTGGAGGATTTGAAGCCGAATTTCTTCAACCTCTACCAGAAGAATATGAATGTCCTATTTGTCAGCTAGCGTTTCGAGATCCTATTCAAATCGAAGATTGTGGCCATAGGTTTTGCCAGTCATGTCTTCAAGAGCTGAAAAGACGGTGAGTACTAAAAAATAGTATCGAAAGAGAGGGAAATCTTTCGCTTTTCTCTTCAAAGCGAATAAAAATACGGCACCAGAAACGCATATTTTTAATAATTTTAATTTTGAGTTTCTTTCTTTCACGGAATTAAATGGTAAAAGTAGATTTTTGTTTGTTATAAGTATTAAAATTGAAAGTGTTTAGTACTCGTGCAAGCGATTTCTTTAGTTCTAATTTCTACGGAAATCCCCACAGAAAATAGACATAAATGAGCTTATTTTCTTTATAAAAATAATATACTTTTTCATGGTTAAAGAATTCAGTATAGTGGAAGATCTACTGTTTCAAATTTGAAACATTAATATTTGTCAAAACATCAATCCACAGGCAAGGAAGCCCAGTTTTATGCCCCATGGATAGAAAACCGATCTCCTCCACAAAGGTATGGATTGCCATGACATTTAAAAATAGACGGCATGTCATTTATTATTTCAACCAAACTAGACAGAACTACATCAGTCCAGTACACTTTATTTATCATGTATCGAATGTTAGCTGATTTACATACGAAAATATTCACTAAATTTGTAATATAGTAATTGCAAAGTGCATAGCGCGAATTGACTTTTCTCTTTCTTTCTTTTCGATAAATATTACCTTCAGCATTTTTCCGAATTTATTTTCGCTTCTCCTGTCAGCACTGCTTGTCCACGTGGTTTGGACCACAAATCTGACTCACATTTGCATGATTTATCTTTCAGTACTAGTTTTAGAACAATAAGTTATATTATTTATTTTTTTCGTTTATCTTTCTTTTCTTTCACTCGTTGGTTTCCCCTATTACTAAGCATTAGGAAAGATGTATTTTAGATTGCCAAAGAGACAACACTCAAAGGGTTTCCGTCCGAAATTCCCCAAAGCCAGTAGTCGCAACGCTTGAACAAGATTAAGTCTTTTTAATGTTTGCAAATATCCAATATCAGAGATAACAGACGATACAAAACTAAGATAGCTTCCCACAAAAACTACTTAAGAATTAAACAATCAACTCAAAAGTCATGAGGAGTTGTGGATAAACACCAGGTTAGTGGCAGATCGCAATTTCATGGTCGTGAAGGCGAGCCCTTCATGGCGCGCAATTTTAAGCTATGATTTGAAATTCAAATGACATAGTGAGTGTTGCATGGTTTATATTCTTTTAGTAGCCTGTTGCTAGTGTTACGTAGAGCAAAACAATCGAATTGGTACGTGAATGCCCTAGCGACACACGTACACTCAAAATCCCCCAATATCGCTTTAGTAGTCTGAATAGATTTTTCTATTCAATCAATTTTTAACTCTCATTTTTACTTGGAGTATTACTTCAATTCCTACCAATATTTGAAATGAAACATTAAGCACTTTTAACGAGAATTTTGCGTGAACTAGGTGTTTTTGGATAAAGCAGCACGCAGAGCCATTCTTAGTCTTGGCGTCAAATGTATCAATTGGAAAAGAAAGTGTGATTGGACTGGGGAATTGAGCTACATCGAGGTAAGACTTTTCTAACTAATATTCAATAATATTAAACGAGAAAAAAACAGCATGTCCAAATAGGTTTATGATATTATAGGTCTATAATAGGTCAGTAATATTCAATGATGATAGACAAGAAAAAAACCAGTCTGTCCAAATGGGTCTAGGGACCGTCTATGTGAGCCGCTCGGTTTGTGTAAATCCTCGTTCGCCGGGATCAGTAGAGATGTCGGAGTGGAAAGTTCTCCGGCATAGCCGTAAATGCTTCGCGCTGCCATCTTAATCCTTATTTTAAATGAAAAACAAGATAGAATACAACATAGCGACAATGAAAACCGGCTGTATGCTCGAAGCCAATTCACTTTCTAGCAGTAGAGTATATCAATTTTTCAATTTTCGTTAGCTTTGTGCCGCGTCCTTTTTCTTATCCTAAATAGAGCGATTCGTACGAACGCACGGGTTCTGACCAGTTCTCCCTGCGACGTGCCTTGCCAACATGTGTCTCACACGGTAACAAATTGAACAGGTTTACCGTTTTCCTTCCTTCTTCTCTTTCTAGTTATTTCACTATTATCAAATCCCCCACTTTAAACTGATATATACCGGCATGTCTGCCTCTTCATATGATTTATTCCGCAACAACTTTCAACTATAAACTGTAAATTTGTTTAGAGACTATGAAGGATTTATAGTCTCTTACCTAGACTCATTTAGATTGTCGCAGGAAAACTCTGGTTTATCAATACTTTAGGACTAACTGATTCTCGACGACACATGCGTTCAGACCTTCGCATTAGGAAAAAATAGCTCGAGGAAGAAATTGGTCCAACGTTTAATATTTAAATAGTGTCCAAAGACGACACTTCTAATAGTCTAAAACAAACGTTTGATTAACAGATATCTTGTGGTGCAAACGTCTGGCTTTTAGAGTGCAACTCAAGATATTTTTACTCATTTAAATGTCATTCTTTTAATAAGTAAACGATAAGTGACACGAGGACTACCAACCACAGGGTATTGTTCCTCGCGTTCCTTACGCATTCATGCGGTTCTTCATAACTCTTTCTTTCAGCGTCGCATCGGAAACAGACCATTTCACTTTCATCTTTCTTGACATAACTGCGTGAATTATTGGAGCACACACTGCAAAACTCTTGTTCCCAATGTTGGGCACAACATGTTGATTCAAGAATTTTGACAGAATTTCAAAGCGATTGCCAATCTGGATTCCTTGATATCAAACAGCAAAAACGCGTCTAGTACTAGTTTGCAATCCGAAGACAAAGCGATGCTGGCATTATTTCGTCAAAAAGTCCTGGTAAAAGCTAATTTATGAGTTCATTTGTAGTTAATGTTTTTATACAAGAGTGCTTTCTTTATTTAAAATTGGGTGTTCGTGTATTTGTTAATCATGTCGTAAAAAAGTAGCAGGAATAATGGAAATGTAGGTAGAATTTTTAAGGCCGTGCTTTGGCCTCTTAAATCTGCTCGTCAATAGGATGCGTTAACTTTGATATGATTTTACTAAAACCAGACATTAATGTGTTATACTGATTGAACCGGCACTGAAGCAACCATTGGACTGATCTAAGGGTACGGGTAACTCAGAAATCGATTTTGAATTGAAGAGGGACTATTTGAAGTGAGGATAGTACAATAGTGGGAGATCCAGAAAACAATGCTCTAATGTGAATTTGCCCAGAAATTGAACCAGAGGGTCCGGAGATGAGAGGGGAATGTTTTACCGCTACAACGTAACGTTGATTCCAAACACACCACGTATTCATATGCCACTGTATTTCACGTGTTTGCAATGTCTTTTAAGGCCTAATATAATTCTCTATTTCCAGGATCACACCAAGAACTGCGCTTACGAAGACGTCCACTGTACGAACCCAGAATGCAACGAGGTCATGACGAGAAAGAACTTACAATATCACCTCGTTAGCAAGTGCAAGTGGAGAGTTGTGTCATGTCATTTCTGCTCTGAGATGTACACTTATAAAGATGGAAAGGTTGGTTCAAGAAAGTATAGTGCGCATGCTCAAAAAAATTGGCCATGCTGGAGGAATTTAGAATTCTTTTGTTATATCACAGGTAGCCCAAGCTTGGTTTCTGTGGTGTCCTGTTATAAGGAAATGTATGGGGAATCATCAAA